AGCACAGACAGTTCCAATCAAGATGAACGCCAAAAAACCCACACAAAGACACATCATAATTAAAATGCCATGTGTTAAATACAAAAAAGAATCTTAAAGGTTTCAAGACAGAGACAGAAAGTTACCTATATGGGATCTCCCATTAGGCTATTAGCTGATTTCTCAACAGAAACACATCAGGACAGAAGGGAGTGGCAGGAAATATAGAAAGTAAAGAAAAGCAAGGGACTAAATCCAAGACATTCTATCCAGCAAGACTAGCATTCAAAATTGAAGAAAAAATTAGGAGCTTCACACACAAAGGCTAAAGGAGTTTATTACCATCAAACCAGCAATGTAAGAAATCCTAGAGACTGCTTTAAGAAGGAATAGTAGGGAGAAGCACAGGCATAAAGAATAAAAATGGCAATAAATAAGTACTTATCTATAATAACCTTAAAAGTAAATGGATTAAATGTTCCAATAATAAGACAGGGTAGTCAAAAGGTTAAGAAAACATGACCCATACTTATGCTGTCTAAAAGAGACCCGCCTCAGAACACAGGGCTCACACAGACTGAATGTGAAGGCATGAAAAAAAATTTCAGGCAAATGAAAAAAAAAAAAAAGTTGGGGTAGCAATACTGATATCTGACAAACTAGACGTCAAAATGAAGGCCATAACAAGAGGTAATGGTGACCACTTCATAATACTAATGGGATCAAGCCAGCAAGAAGAAATAACCCTGGAAGTAATCAAGGGAGATATAGCAATGCAATCATAGCAGGGGACTTTAATATCCCATTGACATAACAGGATAAATCTTCTAGACAAAATATCAATAAGGAAACAGAAATCCTAAATCATAGACTAGATCACATGGAACTAATTAACATCTTCAGAACATTTCACCCTAAAGCAGTGGAATATACATTTTTTCTCATGTGCACACGAGACATTTTTAAAGGTAGACCACAGGGCAAGTCTCTACAAATTCAAGAAGATGGAAATCATATCAACCATCTTCTCAAATCACAATGCCATAAAATTAGACATACACTATGATAAAAACATTCAAAAACAGTCAAACACATGAAGACTAAACAGCATACTATTAAACAATGAATGTGTTACCAAAGAGATCAAAGAAGAAACAAAACAAAAATATATATCCTGGAAACAAATGACAATGAAAACACAACAATCCAAAATCTATGGGACACAATGAAAATAATCCTGAAAAGAAGTTAACAGTACTACAGGCCTATCTTAAAAACAAGAAACATTTGTAATAAGTTATCTAACCAAATAATTTAAAGAATTAGAAAGAGAGCAACAATAAGAGACCAGAATGAGTAGAAGGAAGGAAATAAGGAATGTCAGAGCATAAATAAGTGACGTAGAGACCAAAGAAAACAATACCAAAAAACAATAAAACCAAGAGATGATTCTTTGAAAGCATAAACAAGATTGATGAATTTTTAGCCAGATTCAATAAGAAACAAAGAGAAAGGACCCAAATAAACAAGAGAGGTCAAGTAACAACTGACTACACAGCAAAACAAAGAATCATAACAAATACTATAAACAACTCAATTCCAAAAAACTGGGCAACCTTTACAAAATAGACATATTCCTAGAAAAAATACAATCTTCTAAAACTCAATCAGAAAGAATCAGAAAACCTGAATAGGCAGATAACTGCTGATGAAACTGAAGCAGTGATTTAAAAAAAAAAAAATTCCAGCAAAAAAAAAAAAAAAAAAAAAAAATGCCCTGATACAGATGGCTTCACAGGAGAGTTTTTTCCAACATTCAAAGAACTAATACCTATACTCTCCAAACTATTCTAAAAAATCCAAGAGAAAGGAACATGTTGAAGCTCTTTTTATGAAGCCAGCATTACTCTAATTCCAAAACCAGATAAAACTACAAAGAGGGGGAAGATCCAAGATGGCAGCCTACGTAAACACCTAAACTGCTGCCTTACACAACAATTTCAAAACTACAACTAAAAGACAAAACGTCTATCACCCAAAATCATGGGAAAGCTGGCTGAGTGGAAGTTCCACAACTAGAAGAAAATAGAAAAAAGCATTCAGTGCACACGCGCTGAAAAGCTGAGGTATGGAGGTTCACGTGATCCAGGCTGGCAGCAGGCGTTGCTCTCTTCAACCCAAAGGGAGACAAGCTACCAATTTCTCTGAAATCCATTTTCTGGAGAGACACAGGGGACCCAAACTCCTATGGGAAAAGCTGAACTGTCTGCCATCAGGTCGGAAAGCAAGGGTGGCTTGCTTGTAGACCTGTGTGCAGGAATAATTGCTTGTTGTGCTGGGGTGCAAGACATGGAGATGTGGTCAGAAGTGTGGGGACAGCTGGCTGGCAGCCATTGCTGTTTGCCACTTCCTAGCCCAGTGATACCCTGAGACTCCGTCCTGCACAACCTACAAACCCACCCAAGCTCCAAGCAGAGGCTTTTGCATATGAATGGCCTTCCATATCGCAGCTTAATCTAGCAAATTTGTAATCTGGTTCAGACAGCTCTAAAACCTCCAAACCCCAAGCAAAGAGGAGAAAACTGTAGTTCTCGCTACAGCTCCTGCAGGGTGGCCTCCGACAGTAGCTGACCTGCACCCCATTGGAGATCCAGAAGACAGTGTACCTAATGGTCAGTGTGAGACACCAGATTTCAACTCCTCACATCCATAAGTGTCATATTCAGGAAGCAGTCTCAGAGCACCAAAGCTCCACTGAAACAAGTACTGCAACATAAGAATGTCTCCAGTGCAGCAGTTCTTCGATTATAAACAGTGGGTCCTCACAGCCAATTGGCCTGGAGATCAATTCCTTCCAGTGTACCAACAGCAATCAAGGCTTAACTACACCAAGACCTCAGGTGATAGGGGAGGCTGAGTGACTGGCCCCTATAGGTAAGCTACCACACAAAGCCACTCCATCAACACCAGAGCAGTCAAAATGTGGAGACACAGAAACATGTCATGAATGAAAGAAATGGAGGAAAGCAATCTACTGGATGACATAGAGTTCAAAACCACATTTATAAGGTTACTCAAGAATCTTCTAAAAACCACTGAGAAACCTGAAGAGACCTTCAAGGACCTTAATGAGAATGGAAAAAAAAAAAAAGTGGAAAAGGACCAGTCAGAAATTAAGCATACACTGTATATTCTGTATAGTCTGATAAAGAATATACAGAAATTCAACTGTAGATCAAAGGACCCCAAGAGTCAAACCAAAGATCTTAAATATGAGGAAACAGAAAACACCCAACCAGAAAAACAAAAAAGAATCCAAAAATATAAAGATAGTGTAAAGAACCTCTGGGACAACTTTAAGGGTACCAACACCAAAATTTTGGGGGTGCCAGAAGAAGAGAGAGAACAAAATATTGAAAACCTATTAGAAGAAATAATGACAGAAAGCTTTCCCTACCTGGTGAAAGAAATAGACTTACAAGTCCAGGAAGTGCACAGAACCCCAAACAAGAGGAATCCAAGGAGGACCACACCAAGACACATCATAATTGGAATGCCAAGGACAAAAGACAAAGAGACAATCTTGAATGTAGCAATATAAAAACAGTTAGTTACCTACAAACGAGTACCCATACGACTGTCAGCTGATTAATCAACAGAAACTATGCAGGCCAGAAGGGAGTGGCAAGAAATATTCAAAGTGATGAACAGCAAGAACCTACAACCAAGATTACTCTACCCAGCAAAGCCATCATTCAGAATTGAAGGTCAGATAAAGACAAGAAAAAGTTAAAGGAGTTCATCAACACCAAACCAGGATTACATGAAATTTTGAAAGGTATTCTTTAAGAAGAGAAAGAAAATTTGAATTTTAGTGGGAATTTTTTTCTAAACATGAAAGATTAGACAGATAAGTCAAATAATAGGAAGCTTCTGTTAAGTGGGATAAAAGTGAAAGTACAGCAAGAGCCAAGCAGATAGCACAAGAGAAGAAACTGAGTCACAGTGAGAAGTTGGAAAGCAAAAAGAAATGAGTGTGGATTTGTATTTGAAAAGTCTCTTAGAAATAGAGCAGGAGTTAGATTTAGATAGAAAGTTTGAAGGGTTTTCTATTTTTACAATGAGGGTGAATCAAGTATCCTTATAATATTAAAGAATGTGTAGGTAGGGGGAGACTTTATATATATAAAACATACGTATATATGGAATTTTAGAAAAAATGTCTCAAGAGACAAAGGCATTGTAGTTGAGAATGTGGAAGGATGAATTTTGAACAGGAAGAAAGTAAGGAGTAATGAAGAATGTTAATGCATCTAAGTACACATTTTTTAATATATATTTTATTGGTTTTTTTACAGAGAGGAAGGGAGAGGGATAGATTGATGAGAGAGAAACATAGATCAGCTGCCTCCTGCACACACACACACCCTCCCCTCCCCACTGGGGATGCGCCAGCAACCAAGGTACATGCCCTTGACCGGAATCGAACCTGAGACCCTTTAGTCCGCAGGCTGATGCTCTATCCACTGAGCCACACTGATCAGGGCAGTACACATTTTAAAAGTAAGTTGAAAGAGTTCTGGTTTCTGGCCTGCATTTTGTAGAAGTAGCTGCATTTTTACTTCAGCAGAGGGTTAGGATAGGAACTACATGCGGCTGGTAGTTCAGGTTAGCGGCAGTGGAGGGATGGTAGAGAAAACCAGTGATATACCAGTGTTTTCCAAAGGGCTCTCTGTTGATATGAGAACACTGAGTGAGCCTCATATTGCTCTCTCACAGCCTAGGTAAAGGAGGAGAGAGGTGGAAGGTGGATAGGTACAAGGTGGCTGGTTTACAGGTAAAAGTTGGGGGAAATGGGGTTTGTGATTAGACACTGGGATTTCAGAATTATCTCTTGGGAAGTGGGCCAGCTCAAAGTGCTGACAATGGAAGTAGGTGGTGGAAAAGAAATGCCGGTGAATGTCAATTAATAATGACTGTTGATTATAAGAGGTTTTTAAATGCCCAAGTTCTGTGATCCCATGAACAAGTATGTACATTTATTTTCTAGTGAGAGTGAACACACGGTGTGGACAGCCGATGACGCCTACCACAGAGATAAGTGGATGGGCGAGGATGAGCATGCAGGGCCGTCACAGCCCATCTCCCCGTCTGCGCACGGTACGGCTGCTCCCGTTCTGCTGAAGGGCCTTGAGCAGGCTGGTTCAGAGCTGCAGAGCACAAAGCTTTTCTAGCACAGATGCAGGAGAGAGCTAGGCAGACTTTTTAAAACGGGAAAACATATTTTTGGGGATTTTCTTGCTGCACACTCCACATTCATAAGGGTGAATTTCCATCCTTTCTTTAAATATTTTAATATATAAAACATGACATTAAAATGAGCTATTTTATATTTTCTTAAACTAGGAATTATAGATTTGTATAGACTTGAATATGACCTTTCTCATTCTCCTAATGTTAATTCGTTGTTGCATAGTATGTGCTTTGTAAATAAAATAATAATTTTGGATTACACACACACACACACACACACACACACATATATGCATGTATATGTATATGTATATGTATATGTGATATAAACCTACATAAAACCATGAATGATATATTCATTATCCATATATAAAACTTTTGGGTGTGAATTAGAGGGCCACATGCATACTTTGGAGTTTGAGAGGAGTTTAGAGATCACTCATTTCAACCTCCCATCAAGTGTCAGATTACTTCTCTAATGACTTTTTATTTTAAAAATGTCAAATCTAATTAAGGCATTATCACACTGCAATTACTAAAACACAAGTCTCACAAAAATAGTTGATAAGGAAATAGTTTTAAAATGTTGAAAATTCATTGACATAGAGCGAAACCCAGCCTTTCGGCACACAGTTCTCTGAGGTCGGACAGAGGTCTGCCACACCCCAGGCAGAGGCTGCTCTTGCCATGGTCTCTGCTCTTCCGCAGCCGGCCACCAGCACCGCAGCCAGCAGTGCTTTCCTTCTGTTCCCTCTGGTTTCTTTCAGAGTCATGTAACTGGAAGCATACATATATGTTGCCTTTTGAGTCTACTTTCTTTCACTTTGCATAGTATTGTTGATATTCATCTATGTCTTTGCATTTATCAGAATTTACTTTTTTTCTCTACTGAGTAACATTCCACTCTGTGACTACCCCAGTTTTATTATCCCTTCACCAGTGGAAGGACATTTGGGTTGATTTCAGGTTTTGGCAATTATGGATAAAAGTACTACAACGTTCACATTCTGTTGGGCTCAGTGACACAATTGTTAACCCTTCTCCTGGTGTCCATAGAGGCAAACCTTGAGCACCAGTTGTGAGACGCTGCACAGATGCTGCCCCCGGAGGTGGGTGGTTCCCAGAGGGTCTGGAGCCTGTCGGGATCCCCTTACATGTGCTGCTTGTGTGACCAGTTGGGTCTAGCTCTGGTGTGATGTGAACCCACCACAGCAAGAGCCAACCAGTTAGCACAAGAGAAGAAGCTGGTTGTTTTGGTTCTGGGTCTTCTTAGATGGGTTTCATATGCAGATCACTCTCAGACATTGTGTGTACCTGGCTTGACCTACCATTCTGTAGCTACTACTCTGTTCAGTGTTTGTGTCTGCATCTGCTAGACCTGTGTGTGCATGGGAGGGGCCAGTCTGTGTAAATGGGTTAGCTCCTCCAGCTCAGAGCTGGGGCCAGATCTGTGGCTGTCCTGCTGGGGCTCCCTAGGGCTGGCTTCCACCTGTGAACCTCTTTGCCTTCTGTTACATTTATTGAGCCTACAGTTTTCTCCAAGAGCAGTGGGTTTGGTGTAATTTCAAAGTATATAGTTATGATTTTTCCAAAACAAGGATACTTCCTTTTAAATAGACCTCTGAAAATATAAACTTCCATTATCCTTAAGTGGCTGTGTATTTACTTAAGAGAAAACAACAAAATCTCCTTTCATATACATACAAGTAAGTTACAAGTGTGAATTTCTCTCTCCCTTAGGTATACAGCTTATTTCTGAAAAGGATTTAGTTCAGTTGGCTCAGATTCGGCCATTAAGATTCAGTTTTCGCGAACAAACAGAAATCAAGAATTATTTTCAAGTACTACAGAGAAAGGTAGAAGATAATGAAATAATCCAGGAGTATATGGTAAATATTTTTGTCTTAACAAAAGTCTATATGTGATTTATTTTCCACATTACTACTAGGGTTGTTGTTTTTTCTTTCTTTTTCTTTTTTTAAAAAGACTGAGTATATTGTTTTTGTCTAAATATTAAATTTATTTTTGAAGTCACATGGGGTACAAGGTAAAAAGCCAAACAGCATAAAAGCTTATGAAATGAATAAAGTCTCCTTGTTCTCCCTTTATTTCTTAGACCCTCTTTCCACCAGCTAAGTTTCTCATACAGACTTCCAGAAAAAGTTGTTAGCTTGTACTTTACTTACTATTCATCCTAATTTTCCTTTAAAAGTAATTTTCCATGAAATATATAATTTCCAAATATAATATCAGCACATATAGCTCCAGCTCATTCTTTCAGGCCTGGTCCCTTCCCTTTTTTCAGATAAGTAACCACTTGAAGCAGGGGAGGGCAGTTGGGGGTGACCAGGCAGGTAGGAAAGGGGAGTTAGGGGCAATCAGGCTGGCAAGGGAGTGGTTAAAGGGTGATCAGTCTGGAAGGCAGAATGGTTAGGGGCAATCAAGCAGTCAGGCAGGCGAGCAGTTGGGAGCCAGCAGTCCTGGATTGTGAGAGGGATGTCCAAATGTTTGTTTAGGCCCGATCCCACTGGGGGGTCCCAGATTCTAGAGGGTGCAGGCTGGGCTGAGGGATTACCCCCGGCCCCCGTGCATTAATTTCATGCACCAGGCCTCTAGTCCATTAATAAGTTTTCCAATTATGAAGAAATGATCCCTTTTGTATGTGTGATAGATGGTAAATTTTCCACTTTTTGTTATGTTGCACACATTGACTAAGAAAATACAGGTGTTTTCAGTAGTCAAATATGGCAAGCTTTTCTTTATGGACTTCAGGGATTTCTCTGTCTTTTAAAATTTCCCCTTCCACTCTAGGATCATAATAATTATTTCATGATTTTTTCTAATAATTTGATGAGTTTTCAAATATAAATCTTTGACCCAGCTAGAATTTAATTTATTAGAAGATATTTTGTAGGCACCTAGCATTATGTAGCTATCCAGGTATCTCAATATTATGTGGAAACTTCTCTTCAGTGATATAAAATGCCACCTTTAGCATATATTAAAGCCCTGCATGCACTTTAATTTATTCTTCAACTTTTCCCAGCGATCTGTCTATTAATATACTGGTATCAAACTCTTTTATTTATTTATTTTTATTTTTTTCATCACTATGTATCTTCTCTATGCCCTCTTCCAGCTCCACTCCAACCCCCTGCAGTCACCCCAGCTTTGTCCATATCCATAAGTTCTCCACTCCTTTAATTACCATGACTGGATAGTGTTTTTACCATCTGTTAAGACTAGTCTTTCCTTATTACTCCTACTTTTTAAAATTGCTCTGGTTCTTTTTACAGATTTTTTTCTAAGTTAAATTTAAAATGGGTTTGCAAAAAGATTAAAAGCATAATCTGATTATATTATCTTACTACTTAACACCTTCAACTGCACCTCAGGAGTTGCCAACACCTATTTAAGGACTGGTGGTACCAAGTTGGCCACCCAGGAGTTACTGAAAAGCTTTTAAAAGTATAGATTTTATCTACCAATATTCTAATAGAACAGGACTAGCTGTATCTTGATTTCTTTTGTATATGAAACAAGGCCTTCCAGGTAGTTTCAGTTTCCCATTGGGCTACATCATGTGCCCTGTGCTCTTGTTGGGTACTACCCACTATTTCCCTGAGAGGACATATATATCTCAATGCCTTTATTCTTGTCCTCTATCTGGAATGATAGCAACTCATCTCTGTTCTTTTCTTACACACACACACACACACACACACACACACACACACACACACTTTCACGTGAGTAACTTCCAGTGACTCAGGAAGGCTCAGTTTAAGTATTCATTACTTTAGCTTTCCTTCCCAGACATTCAGTGCTGTCATTCATGTTGATATACATGTTCACATGTGCACCCTTCTAACCCCATATCTTCAGATAAAGTCTAATGCTGTCAGTCATATTGGTGTCTTTGTACCTGTTCACATGTCTGTCCTCCAAACTGCGTACCTTCAGGAAGAGCCCAGTGGTTTCGTGTAATACATTCTCCACCAACCCCATACCTTCAGGTAATGTCTAGTGCTGTCAATCATACTGGTGTCTTTGTACACGTTCACGTCCATCATGTCAACTTCTCCTGTAACTAACGTAGGATGAAGCCATATTCACGTTCAGATTCATTTTGTATTCTTAAAGTTTAGATCAGTGCAAATACATTCTAAATATACAGTAAATGTTTGTTAGATTTATACTTGGTAAATACATTATTTTGATAGGAAGAATTCTCTAATTAGTGTCCCAGCTATAATTTCTTTGCAGGGCAAGTAGTAACTTGTGAGACTATACTTTTTATTTATATGCTTATATATTTTTGTTGCTGTCATTTTTGTCTATAAAATGATAGATTTTGGGTAGGTCCTAAGAAGTGATTATTCTATATCTTTTCTTTTAAGGAAAATTGGAAGGTATTGAAGTTCTAGCAAAAGAAGAATCTCTTAGATTTTAACATTTCCTTATAAAGCCACTTGTCTATTGACATCTGAAGTTTGAGATATTTCTTATAGTACTTTTTAAAGAGGGTTCAATATTTCCATTACTCATAAAACACATTTAATATCAGGTCATGTCATATAAAGTGTTAAGGATCATGAACAACAGACAAAGGCAGATGTCTTTTGTTATAGTAAATACGTGACTTATACTTCTTACCTCCAAAGGCTTTGGACAGTAAGGATCTGCGTTATCAGTCCAACTATGGGAATGAACCAGGCAACAGGGACAAAAACAGATATCGAGACATCCTTCCATGTGAGCTAAAAATGCTTTTGATTATTTTCCTGTTTACATTTGGGAAAAGATAAAAAGTGGGTTGTATGGCTTTTAGGCAATTTTGTCGGTGACAATAACAAGGAGTGAGTAGTAGTCAGTGGCCTGGGCATAGTTTTTGGATGTGCAAGAACATGGTAAAGTTCAAGCCTTTCAACCCAGGTACTTCTTCCAGCCACAGCCGTAGGGTTATTCACAGAAGTCCTTCAACCTGTTCTTATGCCTTTATTGTTACTTTTAGGCCATGAATCATTTAAAACAATTTAATAGTTTAAAATATCTGTAGCTTTTGGTACATAGCTAAAAACATCGATGAGAGAGAAGCATCAACCAGCTGCCTCCTGCACACTCCCTACTGGGGATGTGCCCGCAACCAATGTACATGCCCTTGACCAGAATCGAACCTGGGACCTTTCATTCCACAGACTGATGCTCTATCCACTGAGCCAACCCGGTTTCGGCGGTACAAGAAGCTTTGACCAGGCTCCCTAGTCATTTTGTTCAGACACACAAATAAATGGGGCTATTTATAGCCTTAATCCTGGAAAATAAACTTGCCAATAGGAGGCTGCCCTTTGTCTCCAAAGGGCCCTACCCATTGTTTCCCTGTGCTGAGTGAATATAGTGCCACATCCCTCCCCACCGGCTGGTTCCTCATAGGATTTATCTGTCTCAGGCCATACAAAGAGCAGAAAAACACACAGGCAAGCTCATTCTATTCCTTACATTCCTTTCAAAGTCAATATGTTTAAATTAAATTACCATATTTCCTTTCAATTTAATCTTCCTTTATTATATATCATATTTAATGCAACCACCAAGTTGTCAGACAGGAAATTTCAAGTCACCTGAAATATATAAAAGTAGTCACAAGTCTCTTGATTCTACCTGGTTAATACCTCTAGAATCCTCTCCCATCTCTGGATTCCTAGGGCTGCTGGCTTCCAGTGAGTCTATTGTATCCCAGCTGACCTTCTCTGCACTGCCCCCACTCTCTCTAGTCAAACCATAACTCTAGAAATGGTTTTCCTGAAATGCAAATCAGAACAGGACCTCTTGGCCTCTCTGTTCCTGTAATGGCAAAGTTCTTTAGCATGGAACTTCTTTTATTTTCTAGAATTCATCATTTTCCTTCTCTTGTCTCCAGACTTTTGCACCTGCGGTTCTTGTAGGAACCATCCATCTTTTTTTGCTGAGGTAATTCCTGTAGTCTTTCAGAGCTAGCCTGACCAGACATTCCTTATTTTCCTCAAAGCTATGTTTGGTATTTTCTAAAAGTATCTACTATTTTGTGACACCCTTCCCCACTTAACAATCTATGATTTAATTATCTATTTATGTGTAGAGGGCCAAATGGAAAAACACCTGGATATTCTTTAGATTGCTGCTAACTGGGCCTGGGATATTGGCTGAGTCATGTCAGTTGCACTCCTGCCCTGGGAGTGGGGAGATGTTCTTAGTTCCTGGCTTGTGTTTGTCCAGGAGGAAGGAGTGGGTGGGACCTGGGCCCTCCCAGGCTCCTTGTTTTCCTGTGAAACCCCCTCTGTGGATTGGAGAATAAGTAGATGTGCTGCATGGCTCAGGAGGTGGTCAGTCTGTCTCTCCAGCAGAGGAGGTCTGCGGCCCTCCCAGCTTAAAATCTATCTCTGTGTCTTCTCTCTTTATTTCTAACATTTCTCAATCCCTGGCCGCCTCCACTTAGAACCCGTTCATTCATCTCTCTTTCCTTGCGGGACGTGGAAAAGGGAGATCCTCGCCACATCAGGTCCCCACATTTATGTTCTTGTTTCTCTCACTAGGCCTTAGGTGGTTAATATAAAAATCAGAGTAGAACACATCATCTGCCATCCTTGAGTAAATATCTTCATGTTTATTTATATTTATTCATTAATTTGTTCATTAGTTGGTTCATTCAAATTTAAAATAACTTTATGGTTATAAAAGTAATAAATACCTTCCCAAGTTAGTAAAAATAACTTATTGTATTTTTTATAAGAAGAGTGCAGAGTGCATTGATGAATATTTCTAAAATCAGGATGTTGAATCATTATTAGACAGTTTAAGAGATAATGTCAACAAATTGGTATTATTCTGAGAAGTGAGAGGTCCAGTGTTGTAATTTCTACCCTTTATATGCCATTAACCCCAAGGAGACGGAGTGCCTGCAAGCCTAAATGAGCTTCTGAATCGCAGCAGAAACTCATCATGGGATAGGGGTACATTTAACATTTGATCTGACTGAACTTTTATTCTGGGTACAAGAAGAGTGACAACTAGAGAGATGCACAGATATGAAATAGTAAAGTTAAATGATTAAAACTAAGAAAAATCATGTACAAGTTCTTTACTTTCTCTGAAAATAAATTCAGGTGTTATTCAATCAAGTTCTATTTTGAAGTTCACTGATTTGTCTGTCTCTTACCACAGTGTAACTTAATTTAAAATAAGCTCACTTAAGTGACAGGGTCGCCGAAGGAGGAGCTCACGAGGCCAAAAGAAGTAAAGAATTATGAGTGTATGAAAACCAGATGGGCTAAGCCCCAAAATGGTGCCAGCTCCAGGGCTGGGCAGTCAGAGGTTTTAAAGAACTCTAGGTGGGCTTTTTCTGGGCAGAGCATTCTTTGGGCGGGCCTGGATCCTAGAAGACCTGGAGGGGAAGTATAAGGTCTTAGTGAAGTGGAATGTGATCTAAGCAAAAGGGAATGTCCCTTATGAAGTGGCCTAAAGGTCAGTTTCCAGGGGATATCGATTCAATTATTTGATCAGACCTAACAGTGACAGTCATAGAAAGCTTCTTTGATTTCTTCACCATACTTTCTTGGAAGTAATAGAAAAGGTCCGTCAAGAGTTACATGAAGAAAGCCAAAGAAATAACATCTTTCTTTCTCTTCAAATGCTGAGAATGCTAAATGGGGAACTTACGCATCCTGAGACACTGCAAGTGAAGATGGTTCTCACTCTGCATGGCTCTAAGATGTACACATTTCAGTTACTGTTTCATTAGATAACAACCACCCCTCAAAAGCATGATTCACATTTCAATAGTGTTGCTATATTAACTATGAGTCATTGCCTAAGGCAGTGTTTCCCAAACTTCTCTCATGATGAGAATCACCTGGTGGAGTTGTTAAAAGACAGATTACTGAATCCCAACTAAGAAGTGCTAAACTAGAATTTTTGGAAACATATAGGTAAAATTGTATTATATACTTAGCTATTGCTCTAAGACAGAGCACTAAGTTAAGTATACAATTTTACCTTAAAGCACTAGTGTTCTAAGACAGAGCACTAAGTTAAGTATTCAATTTTACCTATATGTTCCCAAAAATTCTAGTTTAGCACTTCTTAGATGGGATTCAGGAATCTGTATTTTAACAACTCCACCAGGTGATTCTCATCATGAGAGAAGTTTGGGTAACACTGGCCTAAGGTGTAAACTTCCCTTCTATCTCTCCTGACCACAGATCACTATGTGAGTACAGATGCACATACTGATTAGTGACCAATCATGTCACTTCTTTTATAATAAAATGCTTTTCATTGATTTTTAGAATGAGAGGCAGGTGGAGAAAGAGAGAGAGAGAGAAACATCAGTGTTAGAGAGAGACATTGATTGGTGGCCTCCCATACATGCCGCGACTGGGTTCCAATCTGAAATCTTAGGTATGTGCCCTGATGGGGAATCAAACCCACAACCTTTTGGTGAATGGGATAGTACTGCAACCAACTGAGCCATCAGACCAGGACTCATGTCACTTCTTTTAAATATGTCAGCATTTGGTCACTGTGTGCTGGTTACTCAGCTCACGCAGAGACAGCAAAGTATGTGGTTGTGTTGCCTTCTCATCTTTCAATGATAAACCGACATATAATAGCATTTTACTGGATATGGATAATCAAAATATGACATTGACCAACAAAGATGACACTGAGGCAGAAAAAGAAAAACTGGTATTGCTGGCAGTAAAATTCTAATAGAACGGAAATAGTTACAGAAGAAATTGCTAACCAGGAGAAGGTTGACATGGCCACCACTGAAGACAGCCCAGATATGAAGCCAGAGGAACTGGTCTAGAGGAGTTCATTGGCATAAATGCGTAGAGTGTGACAGAAAGGATGGCTGTGGCCTAGAGGAAGTGATGCTGGCAAATAGCTTCACATTAAGAAGCTCTTGGTGCTGCTCCACAGCAGCATAAGTGCAGAGGATGAAGCGGAATGTGATCTGCCTGGGACGCAGTGTGGCAGGTCACAAGGGGTAGGAATGCTCAGTCTGCTTTTAGTCATGTGACAAAAAGAAGAGGCAAACACTGTTCAAACTACTCTTGATAAGTTATTTTCACAAAAAAATTGCTCTGATTTTCAATCTAATATTTTAAATTCCTGTGTTCTAAATAATTATTGCTGTTTTCCCACTTCCATTACATTTGTAACCTACAGTAAAAGGGTTTCTAATGTTTTGAGAATGTTAATGTTCAGAAGGCAGTCATAATTTGTACCCTTGACTATTAGCATTTTATTGCACACCTTCAGTTTGCAGTCACTTATGTTCCTGAAAAGTGAGAATGGGCTTCATCATGTTGTCCAGGGATCTTCAGGTGTAAAGACAATATCTTGGATTTGCATAGCACTTTACAAGTTATGAAGCACTTTAAAAATGCATAATCTGTGTAAAACACCTCTAAAGTAAAACAGATATTGCTATTCTTGTTTTACGGATGAGAGAATAAGCTCTGAGGTTAAAATATATTTTAAAGGCTAACCAAAGAGTGGGGGCTTACCACATGTCAGGTTCTATGACTCCTGGCCTACTGAGGACTGACTAATAATGATGGTCACATAGATTTCTATGATTATTCCACTTTTCAGAGACATTTACATATCTCATTAAATGCTTTTCTACAGTCACATGAGGAAGAGGGAGCCAGTGTCTTTCAATAAATAGTTCTGGACAATTGCATATTCTTATACCAAAAAAAAAAAAA